GGTGGGTGAAAGGAGTGAGGAGATGGGGTGGGGTAGATGTGTGAACAGAAGACCTTCTCCAGAAGACGGCCCCAGCCTCCTGAAGAACAGACCCCTGGTAGTGCAGAGGTTTTTTTCCTGATGAAATAAGCTGTGACATTTAACATAGGGGACTGTTGCGGACAGCACAGGGAGAAGTCGCTTCCCGGCAAAGGGATGATGAGGCTGGCACTTTGGCCCATACAGGAAGGTTACTCCCTGTGCACGGGGGTGGGGGGGGGGTGGGGGGGTGGTGTCGGCTGGAGCTGGGGCTCGGGCCTCCCCTGAGGGAGCTCAAAGCCCACATGGGGGTCTTTGTTAGCACCTGACCCAGCCTGTCCCCTGCTGGATGTGGCCGGGCAGCTAGAGACAGGGGAGGTGATCTGCAGGTCACCTTCCTTCCCTAGGCCCTGCACACATATACACAGAGGCTGGGTGCTCGCTGGTGACACCTGGGGGTCCCTACCTCTCTCTCGGCCCCTGGCTAACGGCCCTGCCCCACACATGCCTGATGAGATGGGCCTACTGCTCTCACCAGGGTGCCCTCACAGCATCTGTGACCTTGCATTCCTCCCACTGGCCACTCCAGCCAGCTCCCGGCCCAAGGCCTCATGAGAAGGCTGTTGTGGGGCTAACTCCCCTGGAATGGACTCTGCTAGTGGAGACTGGCAGTTGGACCTGGAGGAGGGGGGTGTATTTTTCCAATGTCTCGACTGACCTTTAATTACACTGTTTGCCCAGCTCCCCAAACCATTAACTCCCACCTCACAGCAACCATCAATTAATGGAGGGCCTGCTCTGAGCTCGAGCTCCTGAACACAATTAAGCGTGACAGTCCACAAATAAGAAAGAACTGGAGAATTAATTAAGGTCTAAACAAATTAATTACCAGTCCCCAATCGATTCCAATGCCAGCACACATGCTCCTGAGCTCACCGTCTTTCCTAACATCTCCATGTATAAATAGAAACTGAGTTTTCCCACATGATTGCTACTCTGGACCGGGCACAGCAAGGCTCTGAAACCACCGTGAGGGAGAGAAAGGCTCAGTGGGCATCCTCGGGGCTTCTCAGATACTCAGCACGCGGGTACATGCACATACAACCACGGCTGAGAAACCAGGGTCAGCCTGGAGGAAGGGTGCTCCTGGTGGGGCACCTCTGGACCACATCCTGTTTCTCAGCTACATGGGTGACGGGTTATCGAAGTGGGCTGGGGTAGCGTGGGCTAGGCCTTTGAGGCTTGGGCTGTGGCCAGCTCAGGATAACTTTCAGAGAGTCTGAATGTGTTTATTCTGGCTCGCTCTGCCTCGGGTCCTCCCAGAGAGAGAGAATGTGGGGTGTGAAGGGGAGCAGAAGTCTGCTGGGGAAGCCAGGGAGAGCTGTGGGGCCCCTGCAAACCCAGGGGAGGCCTGTAGTGTTGTCACAGACATCCCGGGGGGGAAGAGGCTGAAGTGGGGTCTGGTCTAAGGTCGGGAGGGGTATGAGCAGTGTCAGGGATGGGATGGGAAATGAGGTGTCCTGTGCCCAGATCCCTCTCTTGGGCAGCATGTGGGGCCCAGTGAAGAGAGGTGTCCTCCTATCTTCCAGATTGCAGGCTGGAGTAGGGCAGAACTCGCTGGGTAGGGCAGCGGGGAGGAGCCACAAGTCCTGGGAGCCTCCTTCTTCCCTGAGCCTGAGTTCCCAGCCTGGCCAGGAAGGAGGGAGTGGGGATATGGCCTCTGAGCACAGGGCACACATGCCCCTTCAGGAACCCATCCTCCCCCAAGATCCCCTTCTGCTTCCTACTCACCTCACCAAGCCCCACCACACATCCCAATAACTGGGGCTTAATCCCATCATTTCCACTTGCCTCAAAGATTTCCTGTGACACTCATGGCATTGTGAATACTGTCTCCCCAACAGGCCAGGGGTCTGAAGGGGCAGAGGACCCTCTACAAGGTAAAGCAAGTCCTGGGCAAGCTTCTTGATGGCCTTGATGTTGGTATGGCCTGGCCTGGCCTAGCCTGCCATGGAAAGCAGGGTGAATGCCTAGAGGGACCTAGACCCTGCCAGCATGCAGTGAGGCTTAGAGAGGCTGTCTAAGCCTGAGAATAGAGTGAAGGGTAGCCAAGTGCAGGGGCTATGTGATGGCCTGAGAGGACAAAGGGCTCAGAAGGGAGTGAGGGGCATGTTTGATCATCTTACACACCACCGTGTATGCACACTACCGGAGGGGGTCAGCAGGTACCCATTTATAGACAAGCCTGGGAGGACATCGGGGGCCAGAGAGGTGGAAGGGAGGCAGGCACACGGCCAGGACTTGGGCAGCAGACCTGAGGAAGCAGCCAGAAAGGATTTGCTGCTCTGAGGGTCCTGGCAAACAAAGGACTATCAGGACTGCAAACCACATTGTGTGCAACCTGTGTAACTGGATAGGGATATGTGGGATCTCAAGACCTCTCAACAATGGCTGGACCTGGAGGTTCCTCTCGGATAAGACAGGAAGAGAGCTGGAGCCCAAAAGAGGGACAGAAAGTCTCAGGTAGGGATGGTAGACAGGGTCAAACCTGAAAGGAGGGACCTTCCTCCTGAAGGGGCCCCAGAAGTTAAGACCACCTTCAAGGTCATACAGCAAGATGGCCGGCAGGGCAAGGCTGGAATGGACCCCTGGCAAAGTCTTTGTTTGAACCTTGGCTCAAGGACAGATTACATCTTGGCCGAGTCCCACATCCAGTCCAGCGCAGCTAACAGCTGCCACCTTCCGAGGCTGCATCAGACCCTCCAGCCCAGGGTAGTGAGCAGTGTAAGATCGGCAGCCTTGTTTGCTAAATTAGGCCCCTTAACAAAGTCAGATCTAAAGAGTCATTCCATGAGGGGCCCATGCCAGAAATAGCTGAGAGTTCATTAAAAGTGTGGAGTTGCTATAGCAATTATCTGGGTCAGCTGACGCTCACTGGGCAGTTGGTCCTGGGAGTTCATTAGCCCCTGGCCATTGAGGAGGTGGGGCTGCCAGGTAATGATCTCCCACCTTCACAAAGGGGCTTTTCAGGTGCTCCAAAGCACTTTCCTATGAATGGAAGCTGATCTGTGGTCTCTTCTGATCTTCCTACAGCTCTGGCCTATAGGAAGGTATGGGTGTCCCCATTTTACAGATGAGGAGGTTGAACCCTGGAGGTGAAGAATGAGATTAGGACCATGAGTCTGGGTCTTATTCTGGCTCTTCAGACTCAGCCTTGGCACCCAGGAGGTCACAGGACCTCACACCACTCCTGTGGTATGCCCTCATCTTTGTGCTCTGGCATCAAATAGGAAATTTGGTATGATGGTTCAAGCCTCTTTTGACAACTAATCACGCACAGCCTCATGCTTCTGTCAATGTTTCTTTTTAGTTTGTAGAAGTCCAATGTGCTATCCATTGTGCCATGGAGCCACCTTCTTTTTAGTTTTTAAAAACTCCCTAGGCAAGGCGTGAGATTCTTTTTTTTTCTTTTTCTAAGATGTTATTTATTTATTTATTTATTTAAAATATTTTATTTATTTATTCCTGAGAGAGAGAGAGAGAGAGAGAGAGAGAGAGAGAGAGAGAGAGACAGGCAGAGGGAGAAGAGGCTCCACGCAGTGAGCCTGACATGGGACTTGAACCCAGGTCTCCAGGACCAGGCCCTGGGCCGAAGGTGGCACTAAACCGCTGAGCCACCAGGGCTGCCCTAAAATGTTATTTATTTATTAGAGAGTGAGTGCATGAGCAGAGGGAGAGGGAGAAGCAGGCTTGCAGCTGAGCAGGGAGCTAGACATAGGCCTCAATCCTAGGACCCCAGGATTGAGCTGAAGGCAAAGACTTAACTGACTGAGCCACCTAGGTGCCCCAGTGTGGGATTCTTAAGAGTCAGTTTGGGCTTGATGGGATGGCCCAAGGCAGTTCCTGGAAGCTCAAAGGCTCTAAGACCAGCAAAGTCTTGGCTGAAGGCAGTGAAATCCCCTCTACACACGCATGCATCACAATTACCTGACTATGAATGGAGACTTCCAGAGCCTAAACGGTCCACAATACCCAAGGGCTCGGGAAATACCAGAGAGGAAGAGAGAACATGAGAGACTCCTAACTCTGGGAAACGAACAAGGAGTGGTGGAAAGGGAGTGGGTGGGGTGGTGGTGGGGGTGACTAGGTGACTGGCACTGAGGGGGGCACTTGATGGGATGAGCACTGGGTGTTATGCTATATGTTGGCAAATTGAAATCTAATAAAAAAAAAATACCCAAGGGCTCGGAACACTAGACTTGCAGGCACCTTCTTTTGCACCAGGAATCCCTGTGATTCCTGGCCAGGAGATACCTATATGCCCAACTCCAAATAATGTCTCCAAATGCATGAAATGGAACACACGGGATTATATTGGAATACATGATCAAAATATTTTTTTAATTGTGATACAGTAACAGGTGTGCTTTTTAACTAATGAATTAAAAAACAAGACCTACCAGCCGATTAAATAAATATCATAATTTTGAGTTAGAATTACACATAAACAGTATTTTTAAAATCCTTATAACAACTGTAATAGGACTTGAAATTATCTGTGGTTTCTGTGGGTGAAAGAGCCACAGCTCTTGCTTGATACTGTGGTTTGCTGCCTACATTCACAATGGAAGGTAATGTTCAACTTCAGTTAGAGGCTAGCGTAGTCATTTTCCCCAGCCAAGACCATAGGATCCATTGCACTCTATCTACTTGCCCCTTGGGGAGCTAGGGCCCTGGGTTAAGAATCCCTGTGCTAAAAGCAGAACCTCAGTCACAGAGCTCGTCAGCAGGGCCCCATCACCCTTACTTCAGTCTACACCTGTTTTGCCCTAGTTGTCAACACCAGGAGACCCCCGAAGTCAGAGGAGGTCTGGAAAGGCAGTCCAGCTCCCCTAGAGCCCTGCAGCCCCGCACACCCGGGTGGGACTCACACATGCTGTACACACGCGCACATGCACACCTCTGCAAAGTGCAAGTCTTACCTACGGCAGGGAACGGCACAAATCTCTGGACAAGAAGGCGGGTGGCCGGGGTGAACTTGTTGGCTTTCTGAACCAGGACATTAAGGCCCACCTTAGGAAGAGAGAAGAGAAAGTGCGTGGTGCTGCAGGGGCCTGGCAGGCTGGGGCAGGAATGGAGACTGAGGGGCACTGTCAGCCCCAGACCCCAAATCCTCAGCGCCACCTGCTTCGGCTGGGCTCCAGCGCCACTATGCAAAGCACCACTGCCCTGACATCCCAGTTAACCAGCCTGTGGGGAAGGATGAGGGGAAAGCCTCAGCTACACACATGCCCACGCGTGCACACACACACACACTGAGCACACACACACACAATCTCTCTGAGGAGGGAGAAAGGAAAGGTTGCTGTTAGAAGAACACATAAGTAGCAAGTAAATTAAATGTGAGAACCCTCATCCTGCCTCAGCCACTGAGCACTCCATTTTTCAGGCCCCACTATGGCCTTAGGCATGGACCTAACCACCAGGACTCAGGAGAAGGGCATTGGCATACCTGCCACAAGTGGCTGCTGAGCTAAGCAGAGCAGCCCGGAACAGGACAGGGGGTGCAGTGGACCTCCTGAGCTCACTGCCCTCTTCCCATAGACCCCAGCCCCCTCACGCAGCCTGGGATGCTGGGGCCCCCCTTGCTTTCACCTTTCCCTCCCCTGTCTCCCCACTCCATTCCGTCCCCTGTGCTGTCCTTTGTCCTGGAACACAGGTCCAACCAGATTGGCCACAACCAACTCCTCCCCACGCCCCGGGTGAAAAGGCACAATCTCCTTCACACAGCCTTCCCACTCCCTTAACACCCCACCTTCTCCTTCTGGGAATCCAGTTTATTGCTCACCAGATGCTATGGGGGCTTTCCTACTTGGGGACCTGAATGTCTGCCTTCTCTACCCAGCCCACATCTGTTCTGTAAGGCCCACCTCTGAGCTCTACCTCTGGTGACTTTACTAACAGTGGGAGTCACTGAACCTTTCCCTCCCTCAGTTTCCTTGTCTGTAAAAAGGAATGGTAACATCTACAGCATCCCAGGGCTGCTATAAGAATGTAAGTAAAGTGTTTAGCATGAGCTTGGAGCATAAATGAAGCGATGTAAGCATGTCACCTCTCCCAGGCAGGAAGCTGCTCCCTCACATGTCCCAGCACTTGGTTCACTGCTCATGATCCGATGCCCCTGCTGGAGTGGGATGTGGGACCCCGCCTTTTTCATGTTTGTATGACCAGCACTTAGGACAGTAAATGGCATGTAGTATTAGCTCAATAAACTGGTAACTGAGGAATAAACGCATGAACCAACAAACAAATGGATGGATGGAGATTAGCAAAGGCTAGAGGGGAGTTTCTTGGAGGAGGGAAAGGTGAGGTTAGAGCAGAAGAAAGAGAATTTTGGTGAGGAAAACAGCACAAGCACAGGCATAGAGAGAGAAAAGGCGAGATGCATGTGGCAGACCAGAAACGGTATAGAGAGGCCACTGCTCCCCCAGTCTGAGGCCAGAGCTAGCCCCTGCCCTGTAGATCTTTCCTGGGAGGAGGGGCAGCAGAGCCTACCACAGGGCTTCTGGCCTAAGGATGCCTGGGGCAACCTGCTCTCAGCTCTGGCACACCTGGTAGCTAGCAAGCCACCCTGTACCTGTAGCCCTGACCTCAACCTTCTAGGTCGCTGAAGAAGATGCAGAGCCCTGGGAAAGCTTCTGGGGCTGCAGGGTGACTGCAGCAGTCAAAGAAGAATGGTGCAGTGACCTGGGAAGTGCCACCCTGTCAGCCCCTGGGTATCCCAGGACCCCATGGAGCCAGAATGCTGCCAGGCAAGCCCAGTTTGGGCTCTTGGGTGTCTGGTCTATATTGGAAGCCTCAGGCTGATCCTCAGAGTCCAATTCTTGTTCTTTCTGCTTGCTCAAGGGAAGGCTGGGAGGCAGGGAGATGTGTGGCAGGTTGGGCACACTTCCCTGGTACGCCAGGGCAGGCCAGGGAGCTGCTAGCCAACACTAGGCCCTGCTGCCCTGCTTCTAGGCTGCCCTGCCACGCAGATGGAACTCCTCAAATTCAGGTCTCCACAGCTCTCAGCAGTGAGTGACTCTATTTCTGTGACCCCCTCCCCCAAATGCCAGGGAACATGTTACTATAGGGTACAGGGAGGGAAAGTACAGAAGGAGGCAGGAGGACACACCGGCAGGTGTTGGTGATGGAGAAGAGGAGGGGAGGTGCCACGCCATGAGCTGAGCATGTCACATTAAATGTCTAAATTAAATGCCTGCCATAAGACTCCTAGACTTCTGCTCCTTACAGATTCAAAGAAGTTCAGACAAGTTCAGAGAAGTTAAGTAACTTTACCTAAGGACACACAGCTATTATGAGGCATGTAACATTAGGATTTGAACCAAGGGGTCTGCTGATTCCAAAAGTTTGCTCTTAACTGTGCCATTTATTTCCAAGTGTCTTCCATCTCAATGAGGGATGCTTTAATGTCTAATGTGCCATTTAAAATTGTCAGAGTAGCAAAAGCTTCCCTGAAAAGACCAGCTTGAGGCTGTGACCCAGATGAGTGGAAGGCAGCTCCTGTGAGGGAAGATAGGGCCCTTGATCCAGCCCTGCCTGCACCAACCTCAGCTATAAGACAAAAGGTTCAACCCCCACCCCCACGCCCTACAGTCTTTTAGAAAGAGCAAGAGCCCTCAGGTGGCCAGCAGGCAGCTGGGACATTCCCCTGGCAGCCTCTTGGGGGCAAGCAGGGCTAGAGTGTGGTGGAAGGACAAGAAATAGTGGCCACTGGTTGCAGCAAATACTCAGACTTGTCCTCAAGCCTCCCTGACTGGCTGTTCTTCCCTCTGGCTAGGACTGGCACAGTCCAGAGTGAGTGTCCCAGCCTGTCTCCCCAACTCTGGGTGGGAGGCCACGGGAGTGGGGAGGAAAGAAGAGAGAAAACAAAGCCTGGGTTCCAGATCTCTTCTGGCCTGCCCTTCCCTGAAGCTCACTGAGGTCTTCCCAGCATGCTCATTCCTGACCATGGCCAGCATGCCTGAGCTGGGGAAGGGACTGGGGACCAGCAAAGTGGGGAGACTAGAGGCTGGTGAGGTCACCCTGCCCACCCACCGATGATGAGCCAGATAACAGGAAGGTGCAAATACGGGGGAGGCAAATGGCCACTTATCCCACTCCTCCCCCAGCCCCCAACTCAGGTCTTACTGTCCCAGCAGCTAGGATGGCATCAGCCTGGGAAGGAACCAGGGTGGGCTGCAGACCGGGGTTGGGAGCCCGTCTGTTCTGATTCCTCAGGGGCCCTTTGGCCTGGAACATTTGGTGGAGCCCATTAAAATTAAAAAGCCAAGTGGCTGGTGGCTCTGAATGCCAGCTCATTTTCCCTGGCATGGTGGGTCCTGTTTAAGGGAACCAGCTGGCATTAATGGCACACAACTCATCACGAACAGCAGCTAGCGATCAGAAAAATCTGAGCTAATAATCGGGTTCGGGCAAGATAATGAGATATGGAACAATTACTGCTGAGGGTCCCCCAGGGTCTGTTTTAACAGTCTCCAAATAAGCCACAAAATAGAATTTAACCAAACAGGGGCTCCATTTTGGCGGAGAGGAAAACAAACAGGGTATGGATTTTGCACATGATATTCCCCTTGTGGTCAGCAGATAGGAGTCCTGGGAGAAGCAAGAGCCCAGGACCCTTGGGATGTTGGCAATGGCCTAAGGAAGCTTCTCTGGTCACTTCTCTCCAAGCTGGGGCTCCCAAGCCAGTGAATTTGCCATGGGCATGTACAGGAGCAGAAGAGGGAAGACTAGCCTCCTGATCATCCCCAAGGCGGGGTAAGTGCTGACCAGCACCAAGAACCAGGGTGTGGTGGGGGCTTCGTGACACAAGATCTCCAGTGTCATGAGCTGTGCAGCTATGAGCTGTCTCCTAGCACCAAAGTCCTTCCCAGACCAACAGCAGCCTCCCTTCTGTGAAGCCAGCGAGGACGCATGAGATAGGGCTTGAGCAAGGCATGCAGGCTGGGCCCTCCACTTCAGCCCATATCTGCAAACCCCTGCAGGGTGCGTTTAGCTAAAGGGGCTTCAGCCACTCACCTTCACGCATCCCAAATGAAGGCCTTGCTCTTCCTCACCCACCCCCTGCCCGCTCTGACTCCTAGCAGCTCCTGATGCCCGAAATCCATGAGTCTCTCTGGACAGGAGCCTCTCCCTCCCCACATGCAGCTCAGCATGCAGGGCTACCTGTCCTGTCTTCCAGGTATTCTGAATATGACTACTTCTCTCTGCTCTGGCCACTTACCTTAATCACCCATCTCTTCTCCCTGGACAACTGCCCATTTCCTAACTTGGCTCCCTGCTTCTGCTCTTGCTCATTCCAGTCTGCTCTCTACACAGCAGCCAGAATGATCTTCTTAAAATGGGCATCAATTTGCTTTAGGCTTTCAGGGGCTTCTCACTGCAGATCCACAGGGCCCCGCTTGCAAGGCTCTAGCCACCTCGCCTTGGCCCACTCCTTCCATGAGCCAATTCTTTCTCTCCTTCTCTCCCTCCTGTCCTCCACCCTCCATCACCTTTCTCCCCAGAGCCTTCAAGCATTGCTCCCCCTTCGCCTCCTCACTTTTCAGCTTAAATGTCAGAGAGGCCTACTCTTCACTTGGGGCTCCCCTTTTACATTTTCTCACAGAACTCATATCTCTTTCTTCCCTGTCCCTATCACAGTCTCAAAGTATATATTTATTTACCTCCCTATAATGTTGGGAATCAAAGTAATACATATTTAATATATAAAAACTGAATAGCACAGAACTATTTTTACCTGTGGCCTCTTTACTCAATGTCCATCTCTCCCAGTAGGCCCTAAGCACTGGGTGCAGGGCCTGTGTCTCTCTTACTCCTCATTGAATTCCTGGTGTCTGGGAAAATGAGTAGGTGCTGAAAAAATATTCTAGAATAAGTCAAGTGAGTGGTTTCTGAGACAGGAGAAAAAGAGCCACAAAGGAGACCTTTCCTGTGCACTCACTGCTGTCCATCTTAACAAACACAGCTTTATGGTGCTAAACGCTACACACACAGGTCTAAGTCCATCT